TGCGGGTGGCGCTTTGGGTTAAACCACAGAGGCCAGGACTGTGCATCTATCTCACAGTGCAGCTGTAACTTTTTAAAACTCATCGAAACATGGGTAGGGCCCCAGGTTGGTGGTGGTGGACATGCATTGCCTGTACAAGGTCCCAGATTCAATCCCTTGAATTCCTCCAGGTAGATCTGAGAAAGATTGCCACCTGAAACTCTGGAGAGCCACTGATGCTCAATGTAAACAATACTGAGCTAGCTAGACCAATATAATTCAGCAGATGACAGCTTCCTCAGTGAGGAAGTGTAAAGAGGACGGAAAGTGCCTCACACACCCCACGCTCCATCCCGTCTCAGGGTCCCTTCCAATTCTAGGATTCTACGTCTAGCTTGAGCAATTAGCCTCTCCCAGGCCATGACTTTAAGAACAGCAGAAGAAGCTGGGAAGGGAGAAGAGGAGTTCAGGGATGTTAAAAAAATAATTTTATAAGTTGTGTGTCTTTGTTTCTCAATTTGATCCTTTTACATGGTTTTTGTATGTATTGTGGTAGTTTATGCATTGTGACCTGCAGTTATTTTTGTCATTGATAATAGTTTAATAATTATTTATTGTAATTGTTAAGAGCGATTTTCTGTTTAATTATTATTTGCTGACGTTTTGAGAGTTAATTCTATAGTGCACTATTATATTCTAATAGATTGTTGAATATTATTTTATTTGATATACAGTGGACCCTCTGGATACGGATTTAATTCGTTCCAGGGGTTAGTGCGCACCTTGAAAAATCCGTAACTAGGGGCGCCACTTCTGCGCACGCCACAGCACAATAGAGCACTTCTGCACATATGTGCAATGTGCAGAGCACTTCTGTGCGTGCGCAAGCAGCGAAACCTGGAAAAATACTTCCAGGCTTACCACTTTTGCAACCCGAAGAACCTCCAGAGATGTACGTAACCTGAGGGTCCACTGTAGGCCATTCCATTTTAAAGTTATGTCTTCTTATGGCTTTCTGCATTGGATCAGATTATTATAAGGTGTGTGTTCTTCGTTGTATATTTTGTTGCTGCAAACTGCCTTGTGTATAGTAATACAGAAAGGCGGAATACACATTAACAGTGAAATGGAATGGAATGGAAAGGAAAGGAAAGGCCTAACTTGCTTTAAGCAAGCTTCTTATGTTCCTAAAGTAAATTGTCAGGGTTCTGACCACCTGATTGTCAATGCTGATCATAGTTAGGTACCACCTGAATGGCAAAGACCTATAGGTGACAACCATATCCATATGCCATGTTATATCATAGTTTGTTTCTGTACCAACTTTTGGCCACAACTTAAACAATATAGTGCAATTTAATACAGAAATATCTCAAAAACCAAATACTTCCATCCCCTTGCTGGAGGATAGGGGAAGAAGGATCCCAAACATGGGAGAAAGAGCAGTAGCAAGGATCCTGGGTGGTGTTGGTGAGAAAGCATGGAACCCGTTCTTAAAAAGGTTTAGTGCTGGAGATGTGTCTTTGCTGTTTATGATGCAACAGAACTAACAGTCTGCAACAAGTTATGCTGCAGATCAGTCCTGCAGATATACAGTCATTCCAACAGGTAATTAAAAAGCAGGCATTGGCCTCTTTCTGCAACACCTACTCACTACAATGAGACGCCACCCCCCCCCCATTTATCATGACGAAGTTACAGAATCTAGTCTTTGAAAATTGTGGTTTTTTTAAAGTGATTTTCGCTCTTGAAAATAAATGCATTTTAAGCTCTACATAGAAAACTAGTCCGCTTAGGATACTAGCCTTTTTACTCACCTTTTATTATTCAGACCCCAGGAATTTACACTTAAGTGCATAAGCACACATGGCATCGTTTAAGTGAGAAATGTACATCTGTGTTCACAAGGCATAGGCCTCAATCTAAAGCATATGTATGTGAAGGCATATATCCACATTTTCAGAGAAGAGGGGAAATCAGTGATAATCTTTACATAGGATTTTAAAAAATTACATTTAAAGCACCCATAATCATTTAACCCTTAAAAGCAAATTTATAACACTTTAACAACTTATTCTAATATATTTGTGATGCTTTATATGGTAGTCTCAGTTTGTCCAAAGCTCTTGAGGACAGAGTGAAAACAGGAAAGGAAAAGATTATTAGAATCTATCTAACATTTAGTCTTCACTGTTGTTGGCATCCACATAAATTTCTTCCAGAGTAGGTAGGCAAAGCAAAACACTGAAATAGGGAACAGGCTTGTTTGTCACAAGATGTATAGTACCTGTATATTGTGCCTCATATTTCAGGTTCTAGAAATTATAGAAACCTACCCTTTCTTTTAAAAAACCACACAAATGAAATCTGGGGATTTGCGGGTTGTGGTTCATAGGGGAGTTGGACTGTCCTCCATTCCCCAATCGAAGCTGGCACCGTGATGTATAAGATTATATTCTACTGATTTCAATGGAAATGATAACTTATGCTGCCTTGGAACGTGAAAGATGGAACTGTTCCACAAGTCATAACTACTATGGTATAAATCCAACATGAAATATTGAAGATTGTTTGTACACAACAAATGAATGTGCTGCTTCCACTGATCAAAAGGATGTCGTATGGGGTAGGAAGTCCCTTTTCACCTGTTCCCATAGGAGCCAACTCCTAGGGGCCATGGGGGCTTTGGCCCCCATGATAAAATATTTGAGGGGGCCAGCCCCCCATAGTTGATGGGCATTCCCATTCAAATGGTGTGTATGCACTGTGTCATGAGATTGATTGTGCGGGGTGAGGCTTACCTGCGCCCCCACAATGTTTTATTCAAGTTGGCACTCCTGCATGTTCCAAAGGGGAAATGTCCCTATGTATTTCAAGCATGTTACTATGTACATGCACTGGAGTTGTGCATTTTCCTCTGGGTCTCTGGGGAGCTGATGCATCTTGACTCTAGCATACAAGCATATAAATGCCAACACATGGACACAAAATGCCAGCTGGTCTGTTTTCCATCCACCCTGAGTGGTCCAGCTGAATACAAACTTGATCGCGGCTGCTTTCTTTTTACAAAACTTCCTAATGCTTAGCAGCATGTTCAATCTCACAACCGATCTGGTTGCAACTCAGACACATCCTGCAACATTTACCAACAAATAGAAGTAGGCACACACAGCAAGGAGAAGAGACTTCGTCAATGTATGATGTGGAGGCAGGTATGCTTCAGGTAGCAATGGCTGGCAGAACATGGAGTATTACAAATACCCAAGAGTCTGTGTAATATGAAATGCGTTCAGATCAGAAACCTCCACCAACCCCGGTCATAATGAAGTTTGAGGTGCACACTGCCAGCTGAATGCTGTCGCTTCTGTGTTCAGCTGGCAGCAGTCCTTGCAACATTTGGAGTTGTCACATCCCTCCCACCTGCCTTTAAAAGAACAACCAGCAGCTGAATACATTTGAGACAGCTCCACATGATTGTTTAAACACAGGAGGCTTTCTATCTTTCTTTTTTCCAATCACAGAAGGCTTGCTGGAGATTATTCTCTCTTCACTACGCTTTAGGCTGCTATCAAATACACACTTACCTGGAAGTAAGCCCCACTGAACTCAGTGGGCTTATTTCTGTACAGACATTTTAAGGAATCCACGGCACAATGATATTGATATGTGTTAATTGTAAAGAGTGTTAACACAGGGTTGCCATATTTCAGAAAGTAAAAACCAGGATACCCTGAAAGTTGTTGAGCGATTTTTCAATTGACTCATCTAAGGTCCAGGACAAAGCGCCATCTTTCCAAAATTTCCCCCGGACGTCAATTCCACATTTGAAATCCCTGTGAAAATCCCAGGAAAATCTGGATGTATGGCAGCCCTAGTTAGCAACTTGCGGAGTGGAAATCTGGTGGTTTTCAATTTAGGCCGTAGAGAACAATGGTGGGACTTTAAACCTTGGCTGGATTCCTGTATAAGGGCTTTCCATACCACCATATGAACAAATACCACTAGGAACAAACTACTAGGAATACCTTTTCAGCACCACTAACCACACTGAAATTTTACATAGAGCCTACATATTCTAATGGAATACAATTAATACACTTTGGACATTCATTTGTATTAATCTTCCAGACCCTAAACCATAGCTGATGAACATGGGATGTGCATACAGTCAAGAGGGCTAATTCATGTGAGCTAAAGATAATTTCATTTGAACTAGTTACAGATAGGTAGCCGTGTTGGTCTGCCATAGTCAAAACAAAAAAAAATTTTTCCAGTAGCACCTTAAAGACCAAAAAAGACCACTTGGTCTTTAAGGTGCTACTGGAAAAAAAAATTGTTTTCATTTGAACTCTCATTTTTCTCATTCTTTAATAATGTTTATTTCAAGCACATGAGAGCTACATGTCTTCCTTGATTATTATAGGAATATGGAGATCCTTGAGGGTCTATAAAACATTTGTGAGTCATCAGCTGCTTCAGGACCATTGTTGTTTTATGGGTGGAATTCAGTCACACACCAACAAACTCAGGTTGCACATTTAAAGTGGATTTGGCACACTTGCACAACAAGTCTGTGAGTAAGGAAAGAGAATTTCTGTACTAAGAAAAGTGGTGAGAAAATGCACTGAAAAAGAGTGGGGTGGAGTTTGTTTGTCTCGACATTGCATGACCTCACCAAAACCCAAATCAGAATCAATGCTCAATAAGCTGTGGATATTGTATAAACTTTGTACAAACAAACAGGGATGGATAAACAGGTAATCTGGAAGTAACTGTATGCTCTTCCCCACCCCAGCATTCCTGCTATGCTGTAAAGATATACAATATGAATGTTATTGGGTACTTCTCCATAGCAGTAAGATTGGTCAAAACTTTCAATAGCAACACTTCCCCTTCCCTCCCATCTCTGTTGCACACGGCATAATGAATTCATCCTACACTGCAAATAAGTGGCAATGCTAAGAGGTTGCGATTTTTAGTTCAGGAGTCATCATTCGCCCATGCACTAGGTTGGTTCCTACCTGAAGGATGTAACCCCGAACGTAGTCCCGAAGTGTCCAGCCCAAACCATGCAGGATGTGCAACACTTCTTCCTGTTTCAAGACGCTGAAGAGTCGGTCCAGCAATATCTTCAGTCTCACCGGAACGGCCTGAGTCCCGTAGAGCATTAGGCTGCTGATGTCAAACACTACATTGGATTGTACAATCTCCACTTGAGTTGGGTGGTACAGATGCTGCGTGCTAAGCTTGTCCAAAGCTAGGAGGGAAGAAGACAGAGAGTTGAGGAGAATCTAGCACATAAGCACAGTGTGAATTTCTACACAGAGGCCTCAGTGGGAGTTATTGCTAAACAAAAAAAGGAGTGGGGAGAGAACTTGAAGGCAAGGTGGATAAACACATATTATTTGGATGTGGTACCATCATGGATTTCAAATCCCTGCTAGTATATGCAACGTATACAGTGGACCCTGCGGATATGAACTTAATTCGTTCCGGGGGTCCTTACGTACCCCGAAAAGTCCGCAACATGAGGTGCCGCTTCTGTGCATGTGCATGGCACGATAGAGTGCTTCTGCAAATGCATGCATGGTGAAACCTGGAAGTATACACTTCCAGGATTGCTGCGTTCGCAACCCGAAATTTACATTACCCAAAGGTAACATAAACCGAGGGTCCACTGTATATTTTAAACTGAATTTCTTGCGACCTCCTTTGAAAACACTTTTATGGCTCAATACCTCAATTATTAAAAGAGGAAGAACAGATGAAACATACTTCAACAACAGTGGCATTCACTAAGGAACTGTCACGAGCAATAGAATTTAATAATATGGATGAACTTTTAATCGCTTAAAAAAATTTAGCTTACCATCTTGCCTGAAAGACAATTTTGTCATGCATAGGTGCAAATTCAATTGCACACCTATGCAACAACACTTTCCTAAAATCATGCCCTCTTGCTTCCTTCTCCCCTTTTCTCCATGAATTCCAAAAGCAGCCTAACCTTCTGACAGACCCACTTTTTGTCATATGAGCATAAGTACTAAATAACCAGACTTAACACAACTTCCTATATGCAGTCCATGAAGGAACCTATGTAACCTATGGGTTAGAAAAATGCCCAGAAGTTCTAGTTTTGAATTGTTCAGTTTACTTCTAGAAGACAGAAAACCAGAGATTGCAGCATTAGTCGCAAAAGTTTGCACAACAGCCTAGAAAATATGTCAGTTGTTCTTACCTCCTGGGTCAGTGTAGACCATTTATCTCACTTTTAAATTACTAAGTCTTCAATTTTTGTTTTTCCTTTTCCTTTATTTTATTTTCCTTTATTTTATCATTACTAGTATTTGTTGTATTAAATAGAGTACAGTGGATTTTAATATATATCAACATCTCTATACTAAAAATGGAGGGGATCAACCCATTCCTTGGTCTGCATCGATTTTTCAATGTGCTAATTCATTATTTACTTATTAGTTAAATTTACGTCTTGCCCTTCCTCCAAAAGGATCCCAGGGTGGCAGGTCCATTCTGTACTGTTTCTGCATTAATCTGATATATTTGTACAAAATTTTGATGCATGCAATTGGACAACGTTTTGTTAGAAAACATAGACCTCTTTTGGAAGCAAAATCTGAAGCATTGTACTGCGAACTGGATCACTTTGCTATAAATACTGTAAAGGTGCAATTCTCCTCCATCCCTTCTTCTTTACCTAGAGCAGGAATCCACCAGCACTCAAGGCATTTTACCATGCAGTTAACGCAGCAAAATCGATAGGGCTGAACTCTTCACACAAACGAAATACTTGTGGCATCCTTGCTCTTTGCTATACTGAATGACTACCATGCATAAACTTTGATACGTATCCTGCTTCATGACCACCTGCCACAATCTAGCTCTACAGGAAATATTGCTGGAGTAGACAGGGGAGGGGACCGTGACAAATGCCATTTCAGAGCACATATGGCCCCCATTACAACTAGTGTTCCCTCACAACTTTGAAGTTCATTTAATAAGAAAGAGGACTCATTAATGCTTCATTATGTAAAATGCAGTGAACTTGCTCTATGGTGCTATACACGCACAGAGAGGGAGAGAGAATGGAATTTTGTCAGCCTTTAAAATAATGTTGTAGGGGGGTCCTCTACCTCCTCCTGCAGTTTGGTATCTTCTTTGCTTGTGGTCACTGGAGAGTTCATGTACTCTTGATAAATTGCTTTCTTCCATCCACAGCGTAAATGCCCTTATCATTTCCCTGCTGGCTTCATTCAGCACATCTGCCCTGAGGGACACTTTGTCAAAGAGTTCTGGTTTCCTCGTACTTCATTTCTTGCTGCTGATTTGTCTGATCTTTCCTATTCTAGCAGTTTAGTCAGCCTTGAATAAATAGGTTTTTAAAAATTAATTTAAAGTTCGCAAAAGATAAGGGATTGTTAAGCTCGGGGATTGAAGTCCTCTGTCTCTCCGCAAAGCATTCGCACTGCAGAAGTATGAAGGGCGGCGTTCTGCCAAATACACTCAAAAATATTATTTTTTGAATTCAAATTTACAAGCCAGCCAGAGAGAGCGACATATTTTCTATATAATCACTAATGGTGGCATTGCTGCAATATATAGATGTATTTCAATGCAAGAACAGCACACATTTGTAAACTTGACTACTAGATGAAAAAAAGCCTTTCAGATATAACATTCCCAGCTTTCCAAGTATGGTGAGGTGTGTGTGTGTGTGTTTGCTGTGGGTTCTTGCACTCCCACCCCAGCCAAATTTCCATTGTCTTTCATCACAATTTGCTAGCTAATGCTGTGCCTTCCAGATTCTACAGACTACAACTTTCCATCAGCCCCAGGGCCAGCCTGGCTAATTGTCAAGGACGATGAGAGATGTAATCTGGTACATCTGAAGGGTACCATGTTGACCACTCCTGTAATAGCATTATACCTGCACTAGTGACAATTAATGCTTATCAGATTAGGGTTTGAAAATCCACTTCCAATAGTAGTTTCAAACACAGTTTACATAAGCAATCCCACTTAAAATTAACCACAGTTGGCACTGACGAAGACAGAGAGATTAAGGCACTCTACAGAAGGGAGAATGGATCCATGTAGGAAGGCGGAGATAGACTGAGCTGTCTACCATGTGCCCAATTGCTTGTCCAAAAGCATTACATATGCACCAAGCCTTAATCCAGGCTTCCTCAAACTCAGCCCTCCAGATGTTTTGAGACTACAATTCCCATCATCCCTGACCACTGGTCCTGCTAGCTAGGGATCATGGGAGTTGTAGGCCAAAAACATCTGGAGGGCCGAGTTTGAGGAAGCCTGCCTTAATCAGTAATGGAAAATGCTTAAAGGCCTTGGTGCTGGGGGAAATTCCTTGAGCACCTCTTTAGGCTTATTCTTTTTCTTGAGCTTATTTTTCATTTTATTTTTCTTTAAAGTCAAGAGGTTGTATTTGTATAACCACAAGCCTGAGGTGTGACTTGGGGAAAGGTGAAGATTTGTTAAGGATCTTGGATCCCCCTCAGAAAAGGAAATTTTAGAGCTGTTCGAAGTATGAAGTACGCAATCATCCGAATATACAGAGTAGCAAAAGGGATATAACTGCTGTTGTGTGGCATTACACACAGAGAGAGCTATTTAGAATTAGGACATATACTTTGACAGCTTAACCTTGGCTTGCATTTTTTCAAAGGAAACTGACAAAGTCACCTCAAGCCCACTATGGTTATGAGAGAGCTCCAATAGAGATGCAGTCTATATTTAACTGTTTTTATATATGGGGACATAGAGACAGAGAGAGTGTGTGCTTGCAAGTGTTTAAAACTGTTTTCAAACTTATTATTTTTATTTTTATTGTTGAAACCCACCCTAGGACCTTATGGTAAAGGAATATAATAAATAGATTAGAACAGGGATACACATGATCTATTTTAAATGCAGTGATCCTATTCCTGTCTATTCAGAAGCAAGTTCCATTGTATTCAATGGGGGTCACTCTCAGGCAAGTGTGGTTAGGATTGCAGACTAAGGAAAAATTTCTAACTATTGCTAACAGCTGGTTCAAACATTATGTAGGAACTTGCTTTCATGCAGTAAGTTAAAGAGGCGCCACTTCCTGGTGTTTTGTTTCTGTGACTATGTTGATTCTACAGAATAGATTCTGTTGTGGTTTTTATTATGCACTTTGATGGCACCAATAGAGTGAACAGTGGTATATAAATCTTCTAATAAATGAAAAATATACAATTTATGGGGGGGGGATGAGAACCATTCCTCTTAAAAAGCTGGGAATATGTTAAATCATTCTTCTGTGATCTACTCTGAACCCACAGGGTAACACAAGAGTTTGATGCCAGTTCCTTTAGTTCTTCATGCAGAAGTGAACACATGGTATCTCAAAAGTGGAAATGGCAATGAATGTGCTATCTGGCCGATGTGCTAAGCTGCTAGTCTTTCGGGGCTGCCTGTCTATCCCACAAACCCCACAATGCAGAAATGTGGCAGCACCAGCCCCATGAAGTCCTCCACATTAATGAATCTGCCGTCTAATCACAGAGAACTGTGCTTGCCTTTTCGAAAGGAACTATTCACATTTCCCACTTTGAGGGCAAGTGCAATCTGGGAGCACATGAGACTGGCATGCCCCAAATTTCAAAGGTAGCCAGGTCACCACCTGAAGTGTCAGCAAACTTTTTTAAAAAAAAAAGGGGGGGGAGAAAAAAGAAACCCTCAACCAGGCATGTATTAAAAAGGTAAGTCCAATCCCACCTAAACATTTTTCGATTTTGTCCCACTCCCAAAGATTAATCAAATATTTGGGGGTAACCCTCCAAAAGTACCCAATATTGCAGGGACAAATTGATCCAGCTGGGATCAATACAAGGCAATAAATGGGATAAACCTGCAAACAACAAACTTTTATTTGATGTTGCTAGTGACCTTTCCTTACTTGTGAGTGAACGGTAAAGAACAATTCTGTGCCACAGGGAAGGGCATTGCTAGTTAATACAGAACCATATCAAATGCTATGTGGAATCTCAATTTTAATTCTGCTCCCAACTAATTATATAAAAGCTGCACTACAGCAGCACGAAAAGGCTGTTGTGTGCAAGCAGCCACTATCCATAAAGTATCAGATCATAGAGAAATCCTAAATATTTGATTCCTGCAGCAAAACAGACTATGAACCTCGCCATTCCTCACCTTTCAGTGTGATGTCTTGTGAATTTTTTATTTTCTGTTCATTCT